CAGGAGCCTGCTTGGGGCTCATATGTTGTCACCATTTGACAGGTGGGATTTCGTTGATGACTACTGTTGTCGCTTGTCGTGTTTGCCATTGATTTGGAGGTCCAGTATCATCACAGCCACGATTGCTCGACAATCCTTCTTAACACTTCTGAAGGAAACGTCGAGTGACTTTTATCTGAGTCACACTATGCTAATAAAACCTGCCGCGTGTTATAGTAAATCGTCCTTACATTTGCGAACATTTGCGAACTTGTCTAACATGTGAAAGAGTTGACATAACAATATGATCAGGTACCTGCATGATGTCATGTGATACAAAACGAACATGACGTTAATAGCTAAGTGCCTAGGTGCTTGGTGCACCTACCAATAGCTACGCTTTTTCTACATCTTTGGCCCAGCATTTCTTTTTGCTCATATGCATTCAGGGGGATCAGAGGAGCATTGGGAGGGGGGGGGGGCGGATAGGCACAGGATCCCCGAAAAGCAAGTGACGCCCTCAAGTGACTCCCTCTCCTCCCCTAATTTGGGATCCAGCCCCCACCTCAAGTTTGAGAGAAAATTTGGTCAAATCCGTGGAAAAACTATTGTCCACGTATTTTGGGGATGGGTTGTGTAATATTCAAGGCTCAGCTCCCCCCCCCCCCCCATCTACCCCCATACCCGTTTCGCCGAACCTACGCCCCTGCGCCAGAGTCCGCTGGCACGTTTGTAGAAAACTATAAGGAGATAATTGGGTTCTTCCCGTTTACCCATCAATGTCCGTTCCCAATCGATCATTAAGTGTGATTGTGACAGCTAGTTCCAAGGCACCATTGTGTTCGATTCGGAACAACTTTAATTCATGCATCTCACAATGTGTTTTTCATATGACTGTACAAGACTGCATAACGCTGACTACGTTTGCCCGTTTTGCGTCATACGCAGCGACATAGCTCAGTGAAGTCATACACAGCGACACAAGGATGTCTTGCGCAAGTAAAAATTGCACTGGTTTTTCGTCGCGGATGGGGATGATCGTTAATTGGCCATATCTTTATATGAATTGCAATGCATTTGACGCATTGAATGCTTTTATTTGATTACACGTTGGTATTGCTTGGGCGGGCCGTTTTGTAATAGTCGATTACGGCCTGAAGATATGCAGTACTTTTTACTGAAAGGCGTAAAGAGAGACGACTGCTTGAAACACAATTCTTGTCGGGCATAGTGCCAATTGCCGTATCAGTGCGCCAAATGTCATCCAAATCAAACGGCCTGTCAATCCCTGCTGACTCTTCGTTGAGTCTCTGCTAACTCTTTGCTGAATCACTGCTGACTCTTTGTTGAATCTCTGCTGACTCTTCGTTGAATCCCTGCTGAATCTTCGTTGAATCCCTGCTGACTCTTTGTTGAATCCCTTCTGAACGCCGGCTGACCTCTGGGATGTAAAAAGGAGTGTTGACTGGCTGTGACGATCCTGACACCTTTCGCATTACGCATATGGGTGCGGCGAAATCATTAACGCGTGTGCTGTGCTAGCTGCTTATCGGGTGCATTGCGCGGAGATACCTGATCTCGCGCCGTTTGTCCATGTATCGACTCAGACTGCGCGGGGCGCACACAACATATGCAATGAGCTTGTTGCTTAGTCTATACCCTGAGCTCTTGTGACTTTCAACAGGCGTTGGCAACAAACATACTGCTATGGAGCGCCAGCGGCTGCATAGTTCATATTAGCAATCAGGAGCCATGGTGTAACATGGCGTCAAAGCGCCATTTCGCGCTAGCGCTAGTCATTTCGCCCGCACCGCGGCCGGATGTATTGTCAGAAGCACTGCTGTGTTTGACGAACTTACGTTTTCATGGTCATCATAAGGGACGCAGTCAGTCTTGGTCAGCGGTGTGATGCTGTGGTCGGGCTAAGACCCCTCCCTGATGACAGCCCCCCCCCATGCCAGAAAAGAAAGGGATTTCGCAGATTATGTTTGGACACCCAATTCGCATAGTTGTTTATTTGTTGCATTTTTCATTGAAAGAGGCCAAGTCACACAGCCACACAACTAGGCAACACAAATTCCATTGTGTTTAAAAGTTTACAAAGGGTAATGAACTAGGCAGTAGAAAACGACTTCTTCGAAAAGGTCACTAGAGCTGTTCATTTCGTTATGATTCGTTCGACCCTTTTCACATCGGGAACAGCCAAGGCCGTTGCTGGAATCTTTCGAAGTTCTACGGAGATCGATCCCACGGCCGATGGATTCAAAACGGCCGGGATCTCCTGCGGTCAATGGGCTCAACACTAGCGTAAATCGGCCGGGATCTTCGGCGTCCAATAGACTCAACACTAGCGTAAATCGGCCGGGATATCCCGCGGCGAATGGATTCAACACTAGCGTTAATCGACCGGGATCTCTCGCAGCCGGGCAGCCGATGGATTCAAAACTAGCGTAAATCGGCCGGGATATCCGGCGGCCGATGGATTCAACACTAGCGTAAATCAGCCAGGATCTCCCGCAGCGGATGGATTCAACACTGCCGTAAATCAGCCGGGATCTCCCGCGGCCGATGGATTCAGTACTAGCATAAATCGGCCGGGATCTCCGGCGGTCGAAGGGCTTAACACTAGCATAAATCGGCTGAGATGGAGAAATTGCAGTGTTGTCGCCAACTGCGCAATTGGTCTAGGAGTGTCCACCATTTCCTCAGCATGGATTAGTGAAAATAACTGCATAACGGTCCCGAGCAAGCACGCTAGCACGTATTACGATGTACGAGTCCTGATGGCCGGTGTTACAGTTTCCTGTCCGTGTCCGTCGGCCTTAACACCCTCGGCCCTAACACCAGGCGGCTGCGAATGGGCGGACAAAAACGATCGCGTACTGGAAAGTAGTTTTTGACCCCATCCACTCTAATGAAATGAAGGAAACCCCTACCTTCCCGCGTAGGGGCCCGTGGGTAGAATTTTAGGACACTCCCCTACCTACCCCGCGCAGAGAGCCCTGTGGGTATAATTCTAGGAGGCGCATTACCTGTCCCGGCCAGAGCGGGGTTGCAGCCCTGGGTACCTACAGGCTGCCATTCCCGGCAACACTGGGCCGGGGGCTCCTGGCTGATTCAGAGACCCTCAGAAGGGTCCATCAAACACCGGTCCTGTCCCTGACACGGGGCTCTCTGACCGCGGTGGTCGGCCCCGACTTGATGTCGGGCGTTAACTGCGGCTAATGGATCCCTTACCAGCGTAAAGGGCTCAATAATTGACACAGGGACGGTCGGTACGTAAAAGGAAATAGTTAAGTAAACTCGATTTACCGTCCAGTTCGACCCACTGTGCCCGAAGCTAAAACGTGACAGAAGGCCCTTTTTGGTTCCGGGGTCCCTGGCTGACACACTAGTCTTTCTTGCCCCATTGTGTCCCTCCTGTCATTGCTATATCTCAACTGCCTTTCATTTACGGGGGGCCCCGAATCGCAAGGCGTCCTCCGACGTTCGGGATTTCTCTCCGTTTCTGTTCAACAAATGTGTCTCCCATTCAGGGCTGTCGTTTCCTATGAAGGTGGTGGGTTGGGGAGGGGGCTTAAGCTTGCCCCAATATCGGCTTCAGTCCCTCCCCAAATCTGAGAAGAAAGTGGGCAAATCCGGGGAGAAAACTGTCTGCTGGCATACTTCTGAGGCAGCTTTGGTCATTTTGCATTGTTCAGCCCCCCCCCCCCTCTTTTTGCAGAACACGCTCATATCCCCATTCTTTCAGGGACCACGCCCAACGCGGCAGGCCTTCAGAAACAATGGCGTGCTCCAGTCTTGTCTCAGTTTAGGAGATGGACCCGCATGGCCAAAACTAACAAAGAGCCGGCTTGATATTGGTGACCCCTGACGGAGATAGAAACCTTCATCATCCCAGGTGGCAGCCGATCGGCGCAAGAGGCACTTTGACTGGCATTTGAGCACACTGTCCCGCGGGACAGGACCCGCGGGCTGAAGTCCCTTAATACGACCTTCAGCCGAGCCTTCGAGCCCTTCGGATCCGCCGGTCTGGCCCCTGATCGTTGGTCCCGAGAGTCCCGAGGACTCTCAAACTAGCAGACCTCTACCAAAATAAGGCTTCGTTTCGATCTAACGGAAAGGATGTTTGCGTCAAGTGAACAGTTTTGGGAGCAGTGTGGAGGGAAAGGGAATCCTTTTGACCTTGTGTGATGGGAAACGGGAGAAAATAAATGATCCTAAATTCTGGAACAGAAAGCCCAGCTACCTGCGTTTTCTGCGATTTGTTGTGAGAAAAATCCCCTTCGTTAGTGAAGATTGCCATCTGAAATGAGCTAGTCTCGTCAGGAGTGGATAATTATAGCTCCCGTGTCAAAGATGAAGGTTGTGGTATCAACTTATCGTTCCAGTGTCTCCCCTTCCGTTTGCCATTTGTGGTGTCACCAGGAACGTAGACCCGGGTCTCCAGTTGTCACGCACATGAACTTACCTTGCACTTGCAAGAGTCGTTCCAGCATGTGGCGTCGCTTTCGTATTCGGCGCGTCTACCTGCGGAGCGCGAACCAGCATCAGTTGTTTGCGACTGAAGGTCATGTCAGATCAGGCAAGGTCACGTCAGGTCACGTCACCATGGGCCTTGGGCGCCACCCCGGGCCTGCTGGTCACCAGCGCGTCGGCGTCGCAGCCAATCAGCGCGCCTTTTCAGCTGCACCGTCCACTTACCGGCCCTCGCGCCCACCTGCCTCTCGCATGACACGTGGTCGCTTCACCGAGCGCCGACGCGGCCTGCGAATAGCCGGCGGCGCCGCGCCGCGACGGACGGGGGTAACCCCCGCCGACTGGCGGCACCGTCTCGCGGCAGCCGGCCCGCGCGCGTTGGGCGTCTCCGACGTTGGCGCCGTCGGCGGGCTGCGCCTGCGCCGCCCGCTGACGGGCTCGAATCGATGCCGACGGCGACGCGACGGCCTCTACCGTCTGGTGCCGGCGGCGGTCGCGTCACTCGCAGGCGTGGCTCCGGACAGGCGCGGGGCTCGCCGGTAGAGGCCCGGCTGCAGGTGAGTGACTGGCTGCCGTCCCGGCCCCGCGGCGCTGCCGGCGGCCGCGCCACTGCTCTGGCTCGGCATGGTCGTCGGGGGTCGGCTGTGAAGCCGGCGGCTTCCATGTGGGCTGCGCCGAGGGCGCCGCGTGTGGCGAAGCTGGACTCTGTGTGCGGCGTCGCACTCGTTACCGCCAGCGGCGTGTCGGCCCCCCCCCCCCCCCGCCCGTCCTCGGCGGCTGCAGTAGCTGTGGGGGTGCTCGAAGCCCGGCAGCTCCGGTCGACCTGTACCGGCGCCGCGACGGGTCCCGACCTGAACCCCACCCGGCACCGCCAACGGGCCGCAGCATCGATCGTGACACGGCCGAGCCGGATAACACCGGTTTTGCCGGGCTGGTGCTCCAGTTCGCGGGTCCATTCTGCAGCAGAATTGGACCGCTGTGGCCGAGGGCAGAGGTCGCCTGACACTGCTCCGGTTTTCCACACCTCTCTCCGTCATTAGCTGCCGCCGACCTGCATCGGCCGGTCGGGGGCCAGCCTCACGTGCGTGGCTTCCGTAGACGCTTCTGTCGGCCCCTTCCGTCGCATGCCGGCGTGGGATAAGATCTCTGAGTTTTCGCTGTGTTCGTACATCTGAGGGGCTTCTTTTGAGCGCAAGGGTTTGATATTGTTAGCTACCAGTTCCATTTTATTGCACCTGGAGACTGGACTCGAGTGTCCACGAGAATCAGTTCTCCCGCTGCATCTGGCTCTGCTTATCTCTTGCTCTCCGCCGACCAATGCAGATTTAACGTTTCAGATTCTTCAGCGTATGCATTGCTACGACGGAAGCACCGTGTTGTGTTTGTGGCGGGTTGACGTCATCACTCGGACGCCTTGATCTCATACCAACCCGTCTTGCTGGTACAGAGAAACTGATTAAAATCATGTGAATTGGGGGAAGCATGGGAGTAAGAACTCACTTGCAGCTAGCGCTTGGCGGGGAGGCGTTCGCATTCGAGCTCCGTGGGGGGGGGGGGGGCGTTGCACCAATTACCCGCCCACTCACCCTTGGATCCGCGCTGCTCAGTGGAAATCGTTCGAGGCGGCCGACTGTTTGCAGAGTCCTTGGCGTGAATCCAACGCCCTTTGTGGCATGGAGCCCCACTGCCGGCTCGCTGGAACGCCCATTGTTTCTCGCTTGATGCCTCTTGTTGCGTCAGAGACAAAATATCCATGGCCCACCACCTCCACTTCCTCCCTCACCGCATTTGGCTCAGGAGAAAATGATACCCTTCATGCCATGCTTGCTTTCTGCAGTTCCTTCCTGAGGAGGGGATACATTGGAAACGTCATTTGCTAGACTGTGCACATCTATCGCACTGATCCGAGATAGGTCCATGCGATGTACAATCATTGATGCTGGAGAATGCCGAGGCAACCCGTCAGTATATATAAGCCCACGAAAAGTTGCATCTTCTATCGATGTTTGTCATTGAGACACTCATCTGTCGTACCAAACGTTTCGTTTGCTGCATTTTTTCTGCAGCTCCTTTTGCCTTTAGAATTAATGTTCCATACATGATAAGAATGTTCGCTAAATTTTGTGGTTATCTTATCCCACCACCTACCACCTGACATGGATACTGAAAGCAAAGCAGCTTTACTTGGTATGGCGAGGATCATTACCGTCCAAACATCAATCATGTGTGTGTTTCTTACTGTCGTTGCTAGGCAGACCTGCTTTGATAGATGTTTTCTTCTAGACCATATACAGCCTGTGCTATTCCCGCCTTCGCACTTGCAGCTACCATCCACGGCTGACTAGCCGTCCAGCCAGCTCTGGCCACGACATGTCGCGCGACACCTATGGAGTCCTGGCTCGGTGTAACTCGATACTTATGGAGTCCTGGCTGGGTGCAGTTGGAGACCTATGGAGTCCTGGCTGGGTGTAACTCGACGCCTGTGGAGTCCTGGCTGGGTGTAACCCGACACCTATTTAGTCCTGGCTGGGTGTAACTCGACACCTATTGAGTCCTGGATGGGTGTAACCCGACACCTATGGAGTCCTTGCTCAGTTTAACTCGACACCTTTGGAGTCATAGCCCGGTGTAACTAGACACACTTTAAGTCCTGGCTTGATGTAACAGGCATGAGCCGCTTCCAGCTGCAGATGCATTGCATCATTTGTACTTCCAGGGAAGACTGAAATCAGTCATGTGCTGCGTCCAGTGCTGGCGAGGACAGCGTATGAAGTGTTCCTGCTCAACTCAAAACTGGGCGAATAACTAAGCCGAACTTTTCACTAATCTTGTGAATTCAGCCCATGGCCCCTTTGGCTCGACTTGATGGCTGGCGCGCGCGCGCGCCATCAGCCGCCCAGCGCGGCCCCTCCGCCATCGGGCACACAACCTCACGCAATCACGTGAACGTCAAGCGAGCGGCGGATGGGTCCCGCCTCGTGCCGGGTCACGCGGTACTTCCCTGGCGTGGGGCCCTTCCTGCTGGCGGCGGGTGAATGCGACCTGCCACCGACGCCCCCCCCCCCCCCCTCCCCCCGCCCCGTTAGGGGCAGCCACCGGAGTGGCGCCCTCCCCGGTGGCCCGCTGCCAGGGTGTCGGGTCCGTCGGCCGACTCGGCTCGGCTGCCGTCAGCGCCGGTCACGAGCCCCGCTCGTGGCGGCACGTCACGGCCGGCAGTGACGCGTCTTGCGGACGAGGACTGGCTCAACTCTGGCGGTGACTCGGCTCATGGGCAGTGCACGCGTCACGAGAGTGCACAGATCGGCGCTGTTGTTTACGCCGGCCGTCTGTGGTCAGCGCGCCGAGCCGCGTGCTTCGTGCGGCGCGCGCCCCTCGCGGGGCATGCGCGGAGCCGGCGACGCAGCTCTCTGTCAGTCGCTACGGCGGCGGCACGGGCTTAGTTGGGCGCGTCCGAACAACGACGACCAGACCCATTCAGAAACTTGTCTTTTCCTGCATCAACATGGGTCAGGATTAAGGCTGCGAAAGAGGTTTCCATATTTGTTTTTTCATTGGGAAAGTTAACACAAATTTTCAAAAGACCAGCGTGTCATTTTTCTAGAAAATTTGTTTTTAACTCAACAGTATTAGAGCATTGCATTACCAAATGGAACAGAAGAAGACTTCTCGTTTTTACGAGTTTTATAACTATTTTGGAATGATCCCGTAGGCTGCGTTTCCTGTCCCCTCCTTCCACATCGGGTCCTTTGCAGATGATTGTAGGCAACGGGTAATTGCGGATACCATCACGGCAGCACTTATGCGTTTCGTACTATGCGCTTCGTACACTGCGTGCCGGCAGTTCAAAAGGAGGATGTCACCTTCCAGAGATTAACTGATCTGTGCACGTACGCCACCTAGACACATCTTAGCCAGGTATGCAACTCAGACACGTTTGCCAGATTTGAACTGCAGGGCCAATTTTCTTGACCTGTTCTTCGGCGGCTCGGCCGTCTAGCCGTCTTCGTCCTAGCCGTCTGTGCGGTTTGAGGGAAAGTTGTTGGGTTCGCGATCCAGCGGCACTAGGTGCGAGTCCTCCAATGGGTGTATTGTTTGGCTCGACTGGCATCACAGGTCTGGTAGCTGCCTAAAGAGGGTCAAGCTTAGCCCACGGCAGCCATGCTTCAGCGCTCTGCGGCACGTGAAGCACTCTGCGGCACTCTCTGGTGAAAGGATAGAAGCAAGTTTATTTGTTGAAGTGAATGGCACAGATAGTGTGATGGATTTAATGCATATACAACGAGCTGTGCTCTGCAGCAACTCGGAACCCAACGCCACTAGTGCCAAGCATCGGGCTGAAAACGCATTGCAAATGGCTGTCATTGCGAAAGCATGCCGCGAAACCCAATGCTAAACATTATCAAACATGTGTTCTTGAACATTGCATATTTTGGTTTCGTCCAACTGCATCCCACGCATTTGTTCAGTAAACTTGGTGACTTTCTTCTCCTCACAGACGACGTGAGACCTTCTGTGGACTAAAATTCGCTGTTCTAAATATATGTCAGTCCGGTGGATCTTGGTACGACATGTGCAGAGTTTTGATAAACACATTTAAGGTTGATTTCACAGGAATTGACAAAAGTATATAATGCATTAGCGTGGAGTAAACATCAACACCGGAATGCATATTAGCACCGCTATCTCCCTACAAAATTAATGCAGTTTGGTGCAGTTTGCAGGTGCAGTTTCCGGCTCTTGAAAGTCTTTTTTTGGTTCGCAATGTAGAGTGATTATTTTCCATTTAGAATGTTATGCAGGTGCGTCGTGGCGCGCTGCGAAACGGGGCATCAACGAGCCGTGCCGTGAATGCGTACCGCATTCACCCATGCCGTGAATATGTGCGCCTGCAGTAGACTGATTCAGAGCGGGCTGCGGCGTAGGTGCAGTCCTGGCTGTTTGCCGCGATTCTGGAATTTACAAGGGATGTTTGCAATTCTGACAAGCCTTTATGCTTGATGTTTAATTCATGGAGAGTGCTTTTGTGGTTGCACCCTCTCTTCAAAACTAGTCCGCTATTGTAGGACGTTGTCGGCTTCAACAGCACACCAGTTGGAGGCATGGCTTAGCAGGGCGGACGTTGTGAGGCACGATGATTTCTACATTCCAGGACCTTTACTTTTGTCAACTTGATCAGAATAACGGCGCAATTGCCGGCAATAAAAACGGCGTTGCATGCATTAACAGTGTATGATAAAGGCCTTTTAATGGTCGGTATGCCCAGTTACATGTCGGAGCAGGCGTCTTATGGATCGGGGTTTACATTTGAAAATTTGGTGCCTCTGCTTTCTGCTAGGTTAGTCTAGAATTTGTTCGTGCCAAGTGGATTTGAATTCCAGCGTCTGACTTTGTTGTCTGACGGAATATATGAATCCATCTAAAAATCGTCAAGACTTGAAACATTCATCTTGCTTCGCGGTTTCTTGTGGGAAACATGTTTGCCGAGGTTGCACAGCGACATTTGCAAAATTACGCCACGACACAACCGCCGGTGGATGTATGCATCCCCAATGGCTTG